GGCGGAGGCGGAGGCGGAGGCGGAGGCGGAGGCGGAGGCGGAGGCGGAGGCGAAGGTAGACGAGGACGCAGAGCCTGCAGGGGAGGCGGCAGTCGACGTATCGGTTGCAATAGCGGTAGCGCGGACGGTGGCCACGGACCGCGAGACGTACGCACGGGCTTCAGGTGGATTCAAAGGAAGTGGCAAAAGCGATGGCAGCGGCTCTGGCGGTATGGTGGTGGGGGCAACGGAGGAGGAGGCTGAAGAGGAGGTGGACGACGAGGAGGAATTGGAGAAGAAGGAAGAAGAGTGGCAAGAGATGGAAGGGCAGGCAGAGACGGAGGCACAGTTAGAGGTTGAGGCACAGGCAGATGCGGCGGAGGTGGTGCTAGAGGCGGTGACGGCGCGGGCAGTAGCAGGTGGAGGCGCAACCGCGATTGTAATATGGTTATGAACCTTGCAAAATGCACCTCGGGACACGAGGCAGAAGGCCACGGGACCTAGCCCTCAGAGCCAGTCGGTCTTTCGGTCGATCGGAAGGAGGTGGAAACTGAAATAAAGGGAAGAACGACGATAAACAGGATTATTTTGTTCCGAGATGAAGATCACGAAATATTCCGTGGTGAGAATGTTAACTCAAATCATGCGAAGGTGTCAGGAGCTTAAACCATGAGAAAAAACGTGGACGTGAGCAGATACAGAGAGTTGCCTTATGCATGAGGCGATACCTTTTTGTGACAAAAATGTAAAACCTTTGCAAATACCATAGTAGTGATTACAGCTATCATGTAGTAGCTAAAGTGTAGTAGCTAATTACTACACATCAGTAATCACAGAAACAGAATTAAATCATTGAGAAATTTGATGAAAGAATCCATTTCAATAGGGAAGAGAAAGCAGAGGACACAAAATGGGACGCAAATCGAATAAATATGTTTTTCTCTCTTTACATTGTTATCGCAAGGGGTTGTAGTGTTTCGGAACGCTTTGCCCATTAAAGCAGCTTTCTGCCGAAATGATATAATGCAAGCAATGAGGGCATTTTTAGAGATATGGATGAAAAGAAATAGTTATCTAAAAGTGAGATGAAATAGTTATCTGAGAGTGGATGGATGAACAAAACCCCTAAAGGGAAAGAAGACGCAGGCTTCTGAATGTCGTCATTAAGAGAAATTGGCGCAGCCTGCAGGCTCACTCACCTCCCCCTCCCACAACCCATTACCACACTCCTCACCCCAGCCCATATTCCCTTACCCTTCTCACACTCTCCCAACAGCCACTCACCTTCCTACTCGCTTCCTCACTCGCCTCACCGTTAACTCCCTTCTGCCCACTCGTACACACTCTCACACACTTTTCCCACACGCACACCCACCCACCACACTCCCCGCCGTCCCATCCCGACCTGTGTTCGTCGGAGGCGGAAACGTTCCCG